GTGCGCTGCTGGGGGGAATGCAAACCGGTGCTGCCACTGTGGAGAACAGTATGGAGCTTCCTCAGAAAATTAAAAATAGAACGGCCATATGAGCCAGCAATTCCACTTCTGGGAATATGTCCAAAAAAAACAAAAACTCTAACTTGAAAACACATACACACCCTCATGCTCATAGCAGCATTATTTACAGTAGACAAGACCCAGAAACAGCCTAAGTATACAGGGACTGAGGAGTGGATAAAGAAGTTGTAGTACATATACACAGTGGAGTATGAATGGACCTTGATGGCTTGAGGCTAAGTAAAATAAGTCAGAGAAAGACAAATACTGTATGATCTCACTTATATGTGGAATCTAAAACAACAACAACAACAACAACAACAACAACAAAGCAAGCAAACAAAAAACTCATAGAAAAAGAGATCAGAGGCCAAAAGTGGGGGTGGGGGAATCAGAGGAAGGTGGTCAAAAAGGGCCAGCTTCCAGTTATAAGACACATAAGTACTAGGGATGTAAAGTACGGCATGATGACTAGAGCTAACACTGCTGGGTGATACACAGGAACGGTGTTAAGAGACTCAATCCTGAGGGTTCTCACCACAAGGAGAAATGTTTTTTTTTTCTTTTTGCTTTTGTTCTTCATCGTGTCTGTACTCGGTGATGGATGCCAAGCAAACAGCGGTATTTCACAATATATGTTCAGACCATTCTTCTGTACAACCTTGAAACTATACAGTGATGTATGTGAATTATATCACCATAACACTGGGAAAAAAATAGCTCCACTGCAGTAAATTCCAGTTGTTGGTTTATGTGCCTCTTCTTCCAGGGTTTCTCGACCTCAGCACTGTTGACATTCGACTGGATTAATTCTTTGCTGTGCCAGGGGCTGTCCTGTGCATTCAGGACGTTTAGCGGCATCCCTGGTCTCTACTCACCACATTCTACTAGCACCCCCTCAAGTCACGACAACCAAAAATGTCTCCAGATGGGCGCCTGGGTGGCTCAGTTGGTTAAGCGACTGCCTTCAGCTCAGGTCATGATCCTGGAGTCTCAGGATCGAGTCCCGTATCGGGCTCCCTGCTCGGCAGGGAGTCTGCTTCTCCCTCTGACCCTCCCCCCTCTCATGTGCTCTCTCTCATTCTCTCTCTCTGAAATGGATAAATAAAATCTTTTAAATAAATAAATAAATAAATAAATAAATAAATAAATAAATAAATGTCTCCAGATGTTGTCAGATGCCCCATGGTGGGGGGTGAACCCCCTCCCCAGTAAGAACCACTGCTTGAACCAGGGAACGTATGGAACTGCTGAATCACTATATCGTACGCCTGAAACTGATATAACACTATGTCAACTAACTGGAATTAAAACAAAAACTTAAGAAAAAAAAGAAAAAGAACCACTGCCTGAAACTCTGAGCTCTTAGAACAATACTACAAGCCCCAGCAGCAGGGGAAACAATCTTTTTTTGAGCACTCACCACGTGCCAAACATCGTTCAAAGCCCTTCTCATGAATTATAGAATTTAATCCTCTCAACACTACCAAGGGTGAGGGATTTTAGGCACATTTTATTGATAATGAAACTGGATCACAGAGAGGTTAGTAACTTGCTCACAGTGTATTTTATTCTCCTCTTTTCTATCCCCAGCGCTGAGCATGTGACCTGATACAACAGGAACTCGATAGCAACTTAGAGAACGTATGGATGAATTCATTAATGAGACAGTTCCCTCCATAACAGCAATCTGGTCAGGGACAGTGACCCAATGGTCTCCTCTGGAGTCCCACGGCACCCCATAACAGTGGTTTAATTCTTCTGAAAAAACCCTTCCCCCAGCTCTGGCTCTTTTAAGCTATCCAGGCATTTCATGGGAGTTAAGCGGTTCTGGGTACTCTGTTTTTGTAATTAATAACATGAATTACACCTTCCAGCTTACTTTATGAGGAGTTCACTCAATCCAGCCAAGGGTCCTGTGACATTACCAGATAAATACCATTGATATCATTTTTTACCTGTCAGTCACTCCTTTGAAACTTGGGTGAAGTACAATAATACTATGTTTTTCCAGCTTGGAACATATCACACTGAAAACCCTTCCAAAAAGTTTCTTATGAGCACTATATCCAATGCTGCTCAATGCTGAAGTGAGAGAATGCTTCCCCTAATCCATAGTGTGGACCTTTTCATCGTATGAAGGAATCAGTGAACTGAAAGGCAAACCATGATCAATTTGTTCTTGATTAACACAGATTCAGCATTTAAATCTGCTTAACCTGTGTTGTGAAAAAGTCTGTAGATAAACACAACTATAAAGCCTTACATCACAGTGGCTGGAGATCTTAAAGTATCCCAAGCCCAAGGCTCACACTCAGTGGGTGCAGGGAGAAGACATAGACAGATGCTTTCGGTTAAGAAACAGGGAACTCCAATGTTTCTTGACTCTGTTAAAATTCTGGAAACTGTTAAACACAAAGCAAATGTTTAAGAGAGAGCTGAGTTTATGTAAAGCAAGACCTACCTAAAGACCTTGTAGACTCATTGGGGGAGGAAAGGCAAGGTCAGACAGACCACACTTTGAACCCCAGCCTGGCCACTTTGGGGGTTGGGAAGTTACTCTACCTACTTTAGAATCGGCTTCCTCACCTATAAAATGGGTGTGATAGTGCCAACTTAGAGGATTGTTGGAATGATTAAATGAGATAATGAGTATAAGGTATCTGGCTTATAACAGATGTCTAATACAGGGTAGTTCTTAATTGCTACAAAAATGACCTTAAGGATGTGTATGTGTGTCATGCACACACACACATACACACACACACACACACACCTCATTTCCCAGAGAAACTTTTGAGGTCAAAGTAGGGGACAGGTTTTAATGGCAACACCAGAATTAGAATCTCTACATGCCCCCCGATCCTGTCCATTCTGGCCTCTAAGCTCTTTCATGAAGAAGAGAGCCAAAGAATGGGCAATACATAAATAAATACACCAATGCATGAAAAATCTCAGATATCTCATGGTATCACCAATGTTATAGATTTAGTTTGATATCTCAATCCAAAAGGATTTCTCTATTGGGCAATAATTAGATGCAAAGCAATGCATAGGCTACACATGGATGCAAAGATAATATGACATAATCTTTTTCCTCAAGACCTGTCTAAGGAAGGAAAATGCAAGCATGACTCTAGATTCAATTCGGACCACTTTTTAGGTTTTTATATGTATTGCAACTAAAGAGAAAGGATCTCACCACATATCACAATAACATGTATAATTCCGTTCTTACTTAAAATTACTCCAGAATTGTTTCCCCCATCTTCTATGACATTCTAGGCCTTAAATCTGGCACATATTGGTACAACACTCCCATCATCATAAATGTGATAGCATTTTCTCATAAAGGGAGGGAAAAAAAAGACGAAGCTATCAAAGAAAGAATAATATGAAATACTGCCCTTAGATTTTTGCATTTTAAAGTTTTCTTTCTTAATAAAAATTATAGGATCACAGCTATGAAATCATATTTATTCCCAGGGGGGTGGGGAGAATGTGTATTTCTATTTATTTATAAAAGTCAAGTCAGATTATCAAAATTTCTTTAAAGGAATACAATTGCTATGAAGGTTCCAGATCATAAGGAGCCCCATAATTCTCCTAGCCTATCAATGTAGTTTGAAATAAATATACAAATAGCCAGGTCAGTCTTGCAAATCCTGCAATATCCTGGATTGCAGTAGCCCTTAGAATTTAGTGCAGATAACCCCAGAGCAGATGGAGTCGCGGGAGCCATCTTTTTCATCCCTCTGCCTTGCAAACTTTAGAACCCCTGGAAAGATATGACTCTCCCTTGCCTCCATAAATGTCACCGCCTTCCACTCAGGACCTACACTTCCTGATTCAGGAGCACGTGTAGGATAGGAACTCAAACCTCAGTCTCTGAGGCAGCCATCCTCCATCTCCTGCACGATGAAGCCCCCCAACTGGGCTCCCAAACACTGCCCTTCCTCCCTCTGGGACATGGCTCCCCGCCCTTCCCAGGCTTCTGGAGCCTCCTGTTTCATTTGCTCCCACCACACCACCTGAGATGACTCTGTCTCCCATGGCCCTCCCAGCTCCCCCCACCCCTGCTTTCATTGCCCTGCTTCTCTAGGTGGTAGCCCAAAGTTCTCTGCCTCCATCTTTTTATGGGTATTTTTTTCTTAATATCTAAGGTATGCAAGGACCTTAGCACAGTGCCTGATGCAATAAGTTTTCAAAAACAGCAATCCTAGTTTGATTATTACTACTACTGCTGTCCTTATTATTTCATCCCCATAAATCCACCAAAACGGCCCTGTCAAGTCACCAACAGCCTCCCATCCCCCTCCTCTGGTGATCTTTACTCCATTCTCATTGACCTGGGACAGGTTAACACATCCCTGCTCATTTAAAATTCCTTCTTTGGCTTCTTATTCCTTATTCTTCCTTATCAATTATACATGTTACTGTGAAACAGCCTCCCATCCCCCCCTCTGGTGATCTTTACTCCATTCTCATTGACCTGGGACAGGTTAACACATCCCTGCTCATTTAAAATTCCTTCTTTGGCTTCTAAGGGCAGCCTCTTGGCCCAGCGTCTCACACAGACTTCAGAATCAGGAACTTGATCAGCACAAAGAGATGGACTCGAACTTGAAGATCCAAAGCCCTTTCGCCTACTCCTGCCTCCAGCCACCTCATCCAAAAGCAGGTGATGTGAAACCCAGCCTGCTCCTAACATCACGGCATCGAGGCCGTGGCATGCATGGGCCCCCTTCCCGCACATCATCACATGCCTCACTCTCTGTCTCCTTTGAGGTCCCAGCTCAGACGTCACCTCCCCGGAGAGGCCCTCCCTGACCATCAGGAGCATCTCAACCAAAGGCAAAACGCAGTGAGCCCGAAGGACAAAACCCAAGTTGCCCCTTCTCCCTGCAGGCTGCTCTGTGGCTGACTCGCTCCCCGCTCACCTGGATCAGCGTCTCCAGCTCCTGGGGGCTCACGCAGATATGATCCCGCAAGAACTCCGCCTTCTCCAAGGCGATGGTGTTCTTCTGGCTGCTTTCAAAGGGCTGTTCCAATGCTCGGAAGACCAGACCGCCGGTGACGAGGTAGACCACCACGACCACAAAGATTGCGACGACTGTTTTCCACTTCATGACGGTCTGCAGGCCCCCCTGGGAGGCGCCTTCCATCCTGGCTACCACCGTGGCTCGGGAGGAGATGGAGAGGCGTGGGGCGGCGTAGTGCCCGTTAGCGGCCCCCTTGGGCTGGCACGCAGGGGGCGCGGCTGCCGGAACGGCCACTGAGAAACAGGGCGGGGGACAGGGGGAGAGAGAGTTTGTTGATAAATACAAGACACGGAACGCGTCAGAAACAAAGCACAGATGTCTTTCTCAAGCCAGCTTTCAAACGGGAGCACGAAAACCTGGCTCACCAAGCCGGGCGGTGAGGGGATCTGACCAGTTGCGAGGTGCCTGCTTGAGTTCTTAGAAAAGGAGCACCAGGAGTTCTGGTATTTCAAAAAAAAGTAGTAGTAACTGAGTTTAAAATTCTTATATTTCTCTACAAGGGTCCAGTTTTGAAAGTCAGGTCGCCGTGATTTATAATTCATCTCTTCTCTCAAGCTTCCTTGGTTAAGCAATGTCTAGGATGCAGGACAAACCTTCATACTTGAAAAACAGACGTGTTGTGCAACTCAGAGAGGGAATAGATAAGAGATGGATGCCCAGCTACTCTGTCCACGTACTGAGGACTGGAGGATACCAAGAGCAGAGAGGAGATGAACGTCTAACGAGTTTCGAAGTCCCTTCCATCCTGGGTCGTGGTCACAAAACAAAGGGAAGAAGAAGGGCAAGCTTGCTATCGGGCAGACAAGTCAAAACTCAGACATAGTAAAAAAAAAAGTTGGGGTTTCAGAAGACGACCAAAGTGAAAAACAAAAGAACAGGTGACTGGACTGAGGGAAGGAAACAATGAGTGATGTTTCATGCCAAGTAACTTGGTTTCCTGGAAAAACATAAGAATAATAAAATAGATTTTAAGCACATTTCTAGGTAGAAAACGCGATGACCTTAGTGACAGAATTTTTCTTCTATTTTCCTCCAGTAAGAAGCCATTGGAAAAGAAATTTCCCCTTCGTTTTGAGAACATATTGGATTCTCAAAGGTCCCTGGTCTCGAGAAGGTCAATTTCATTACCTTGGAAATAAATATGTGAAGCTGGAGGCTTTTCTAGAATGGCAGGAAGAGCAGGGTCGTGTGGCACACGTGATGCTCTCATGCACTTCGGAACTCTGTCTTGTGCAGCAAGGAACAGCAACGCATTTGATTTTGCTCTGCCTTTAGTACACTAATGTTTATTATGGCTTCTGTCACAGTGGAGCCTGGCTGTTGTGTAAATAAGGTTTTAGGAGATGGTATTAGCTAATTACCTAAGTGGGGCAAACAATCCCACTCAAGAGAGCGGACTGCTCACTCCCTGCCTTGGGAAACTCAAGATAAATAAAAGCACGGGAAGGTCACTCTTTCCCTGTTCAGAACACCAATGATCCTGATGACATCCGACCAGAAGGGTGGCCGCCTCGAGGAATCCACATCTGTAAACATCTGCCTTTCCTCCTGGAGCCTCTAGATCAGCTTTTCTCTTTGAAAACCAAGCGGAACGTCAGCCTTTTATTGGACATGATTCTAGCAAATAAAATCATTAAATGTTAGATTTCCTCCCAACTCACTGAACACAAAACTGTCTGGAATCTCTCACTGAAAGATTTAAGAATCAGAATCAGCACCCTGGGCATCATGTTCTTGCTAATCCTTTCCCCAAAACATGACTCTCAGGTTCCTACCGGCCCCTGTTGATACTGAGGTGCGTCTTGTCTAGGACAGCTTTCTTTCAACCTTGCCCCCACACTTCCCACTCCTTCACCCTCCCTGCTGTATCTCAGTCCCCTGTGCCTCTCACCCTTCCCAGGACCACCAACCTCATCGCTCCAACACAGCAATGCTCTGTTCATGCCTCCACAATTCATGGATGTTCCTTTGGCCAGCAGCCCCTGCCCCACCTTCACCTGCCTGGGAAACTCTCACCCTCCTCAGTGTGAGCTCATATCTGCCTCCTCTGTGAAGTCGTCCTGGACTCTCCAGGCAGACCCGGCATGCCCGTCTCCCCACGAGCCTAGAAATCCCTGGGAGTCTGAAAGCTTGTCTTTTGATTGTTGGATCTCCATTTCTTGGCACAGTGCCTGGCATAGAGCAAATGTTTGTTTTCTGTTGTTGTTGTTAACTCCTTCAGACTATAAACAAAAGGCCCATCAGAATCACCACCACCCTCAGTAACAAGCATTTACGTAGTGGCCGAGTGAGCAGGAGGCGCTGTGCTATGGTGGGGATAAGTCAGAGTCCCTCCCAGCTTTGGGGGTTTGATAACCTACTTAGGGAACATCCTCCCACAGCGTCAGGTGACAGATTCTAGGAGGAAGCCCAATGATGGCCTTGAGCTCAGAGGTCAGCTGGAGCTGGGTCTCCTTCACTGACTTGCATCATGGATGTTTCCGGGGCTTCTAGCATTCCTGAGGCTGAGCAGAATTGGGCCTGACAAAGGTCTTTCTCAGACCAGTTCCTGATGCCTGTTTGCTAAGAGACTGTCCCTGGGAGCAGAGTCTGAATAGAATCCACCAGTCCCAAGTTTCCAAAGCACGAGGAGCAAAGACTGGAGTTTCAGTCCCAAAGCCATCACTGTCTGGTTGACCACTTAGTTTCTCTGTTTCCTTATCTGCAGAAGGTGGATAGTAAGGACTCCGTTGGAGGGCTGCAAGGCACATGCATGGTCATGGCCACCGCATATCCCCGCTTCACAGATAAAGAAACTGAGACCCAGAGAGATTCCATGGCTAAACTGAGGTCAAAGAGGCAGAAAGTGGGGGAGCCGGGATTAAAACGAGAATAATCTGACTCCAAAGTCAGTTCTCTTCTGGAGCATAAGCACAGAAGAATAGGAAACAAAGCAATTCCCCTGGTGGAAAGGGCCCTTTTATCCGAAATGTATCAATGGATGGGGCATAGAAAGTAATGACCTATCATTCCTCACAACTCCCACGGAAAAGTATCTGGCACCAAACGCACTGCCAAGAATTGATGAGAAGGGAAAGGCGGGAAGGGCAATATCCCTTCGGTTAATTTTCATTTTAAAATGCTTCCTCACAAGCATTCGCCCATTCCACTTCTACCTAAACACAGGTAGATATGGGAGCACGTGCAGAAATCTGCTTCCTCGTGGTTGAACAGGTTCGAGGTAGTTTTGAATTTTTCAGGCTTTCCCGTGCCCTGTACTTCCTGCCCATTCTTGCGCTCAGTCAACAAACACTGGAGTCAGCCGTGCACCGTGCTTGGCGCTGGGGATACGGAAATGAATAGGACCCACCGATACCTTCAGAGTCCGTGGGAGGGCCGACGAGGATTTACACATGCATGAACCTAGTGCATCGTCACGAAACCCGGTGTGGAGAGCACTAGTCAGTATCTATCCCCCTTGACAGGTGAGGCACGAAGGCCTGGGGCAGTGGCATCCTTGGACCCACCTTCAGACATCTAGCCCCAGGTGCCTCCACTCCTCCCCATCACTTGAAACAATGACATCCACAGGCCTCGGTTTCTTGGAAACCTGAAAGGCAGCCCTCCTCAGAGGTGCCTGTCACACAGCAATGTGACTCTGCCCATTGACCCAGGCAAGGTACAACTGATTGCAACACACCGGCGAGAAGCAGAGAACTCCTGCCCTCCCCGCAGCCCTCCCAGGCCTGGTACGGGTCCAGGGCCACCTGCATCGGCAGCTCAGAGCTTCCAGAGAGCTCCAGGTGAACGCTGAGCCTGGAATCCCCAAACCGCTTCCCCAGGTGTATGTGGACTTGAGGCAAGTGCAGAGGGTGGGTGTCGGGAAGAAGGAAGGAATGCTGAGGAGCCTCATAGCAGCTGGTTTTACCATGACCGTCCTCTGAGAAGAGCAGAGAGAATGTGCGAGCTCCCTCTGATTCCACATATCCCAACAGCCGGATCTTGTTCTTCCAGCTTCCGTCTGATGGCTGTACCTTAAAGGTGATCGAGCTGGTCCTGATAAGAACGCAGGGACAGTCTACACACACTAAGTGAGCAAGCCATGCATGTCCCCAAAAGGCCACCACAGAAAAGGCTCTCCCTTTGGGTTCAGGGATTTCTCTCCCCTAGCCCTCTTAAAACACCAGGCTTTGCGCCCAGATAGAAGAGACCAAGGCATCAGGAAACGTCTGGGACCCTTTAGAGACAGAGAGCCAAGACAAGAGGAAACCAGGCTGAATGGGGAGGAGGAAGGAGCTGAGAACATGCTGCCACCTTGACTCACATCTGTCCCCGCCTCGCTCTTTAGGGCAGACCTTGTCTTCTCTTACCAGAATCACTTCGAAAGCCCCCAGTCCTGCCTCTTCGAATCCATCCTCCACATCGCAGCCAGGTGGCGCTCTCCCAGGTGTGACTCTGAACACAGCCGCCTCATACTTGAGCTCCTCTGAAGGCACCACAGTGCTTCAGTAAAGTGCAGGCTCCTTCCAGGACCTGGCGCCTGCTCGTCTCCCCAGCCTCACCTGCTGCCACGTCCCTCACATACAACCTTTGACCCCGCCAAACCCAGCAGCACCCTGACCCTTGCATGCTGAGCCACCTGCTGATGCCACCCTCTGGGCCTTCTTGCTTCCCAGATACCTTTATTCCCCCACTCTTTATCTGGTCCATAACAGCTCCTACTTCAAAACTCACTTCATGCATCACCACCTCCAGGAAGTCCTCCCTGACTGCCCACCCCCCAGCATAATCAGATGTCCTTCCTCTATGCTCTCTTTATGTCTCAGTATGGAGCTTAGCACACTGACTACAACTGAGTTGCTCCTACTTATAATTTGCTCCATTCCTGAATTCATTCATGCATCCATCCACAAAGTTACCAGCATTTATGATACCAATTTCACACACTTGCCCAACAGAAAATCTGACTGCAGAATTCATTGAATCTGGTAGTGTGAGCTGCCCCAGTACTGTAGTATTTTCTTCCCACAGAGAGACAACCAGAGTCGGGGTGTTAAAGTTCTCAGACAGTAAAATAGTCTAAGGAGAGCTCTTCATGATTTGTTCAACTCCTAGGGAAGACGAGAAAGAGCCCAGGACCAGGGCTCCTCCTCGTCCGTGCTGAGCTGGTCGGAACAGCCCTGGCATTTCCCACTGCCTTGCTCCTCTTCCAAGATCTGGGGCTCCCTACCTTGTGGTTTTCCCAACAGGCCCC